ATCGAGTAAAACGGTCTACGCATGTTAAAAGATAAGAATATCCATTTGAATCTGATAAAGGTCCTACCAAATCTAAGTGAACATGGTCGAAGAGAGCATCGGGAGTGTTAAACGAGCCTAGGGGGTAAGTGCTATGTCTAATAGCCTTAGATTTCTAGCAGCTTACACAGGAACGTGCCTACTCCTTCACGTCTTTATTGATACCAGGCCAGCAAAACCGTTCTGCTATAAGCTTGATGGTTGCACGAACACCTGGATGAGAAAGTCTGTGCAACGTATTGAGGACGTTGCGTCCATATTGTTTCGGCACGATTGGACGGTCCCTATCTGCAGATGTGTCACACAGTAAGGTTCCCTTACCTGTTCCCATCTGTTTAATTCGCAGTTTGTGTGTTGTTGAGGACAACTTGTGCTGAAGATCAGTGTCCTCTTTTTGAAGCTGTGCGAGGTTTAGAAGGTCGGTTCCTTGGAAACTGTTCAAGGAAGTTATTCGAGACAAGGCGTCTACGACTACATTGTTTGCTCCAGAAATGTGTCGAATATCTGAAGTAAACTGCGAAATGTAGTCTAGTTGTCGAGACTCACGTGGTGAGTACTTTTCTGAAGAAGAGCTTAAGGAGAAATTAAGAGGTTTATGGTAAGCAAGAAGGGTTAATTCACGGTCTTCGATAGAGTGTTGAAAATGCCGTACAACACAATACAAAGCTAAGAGTTCTCTATCGAATATGCTGTACCTCGATTCAGTACCTATCAACCGTCTTGAGAAAAATGCCAAAGGTTGCCAGGAGTGGTTAACCGATTGTTGTATAACTCCTCCGATTGCTTAGTCGGATGCGTCTACTGCGATACTAATGGGTGCTTCAGTATCCTGATGAGCAAGCATTGTTGCTTGAGCGATCAGTTCCTTAACCGTGGAGAATGCTTTTCGCGCGGTGTCTTGATGGATTTCTCATTTTCATGAAGTTGGTCGGTAAGAGGTTTCAGAAGTGACGTTCACTCCGGTTTGAACTGTCTATGGAAAATTACAAGACCGTTAAACGTGCGCAATTTCCTGATGGTGGTCGATTCTGGGTAATCCAGGATGGCCGCCACTTTTGTTCTAAGGGGTCGGATACCTTGTGCATCGATAGTGTGTCCTAGGAAGTCTAGAGAGTCTGTTTCGATCTGGCATTTCTAAATGTTTACAGTAATGCCATGCTTTTTAGTCGATCGAAAACAAGATCCAGATGCTGGAGATGAGATTCTCTGTCCAGACTTGCTATTAGACAGTCACCAACATACGCATGTACGAAGTTGAGACCTCGAAAAACGTCATCTGTGAACCTTTGGAAGGTCTGTGCAGCATTTCTTAGACCAAAAGGCACTCGAAAAATCCATAGAGTTCGAATGGAGTAATAATAGCGGTTTTCGGAATATCGTCAGTGTCCATAGGGACTTGGTCATACGCTTTAACCAAGTCGATTTTCGAAAAGACAGTTGTATCTTTCAAAGTAGCTGTCAAATCGTGAAAGTGAGGCAACGGGTAGCGATCGGGAATGGTTTTTGCATTCAATCGCTGATAATCATCGGTTGGACGCCAATCGTTGCTGTCCTTTTTAGGGACCATGTGCAACGAAGATACACATGAGCTGTTTGACCGCCGTATGATTCCTATCGTCAACCTTAACTTTTCGGAGGCCAGTCGGCGTGCTTTCGAGAAGAAAGGTGCTCCTGTAGTCGTGATGTGATGTGTAGCGCTGCTGGTTATACGCGACAATTTCGGTTGAGACTGGTAAATGCCAGAATACTTATCGAGTATTGGTTGATAGAAGGGGTCTATAGTGTGCTTAAATGTAACTGGAGATAACCTGCAACCAGAAAAAGATTTTACCTTTTGCCATACGTAGCGATAGGCTTTCCGTTTGCCGCCTATAGATTTAAAACCGATTCGTGAAGCCAGTCGTTGGAATTCGCTGGGAGAACGCTAACTTTTGCATCAGTATCGACGAGGTAGCGAACTCTCGTTATCACATCTGTGACGTATAACAGACAGCTAAGGTCACCGGCTACGGTTATCGTTAACGCGTGCCGCCTTGGAGGTTTCCCGAATTGTTTTTGTGTCGATAGATTTTGAATTGGAAAAATTGCAGGATTTTCTGCAATTTCCGGAGGACTTTCCATACTGGTTATGATACCAGCACCAGTCAGGGTTGTCCGTCTCTCGAAGTCTGGAGACAGATCGCCTACGTGATGTGCTCCTTCGCGGGCTGTGTGACCGTTTACGGTCGTCACGAAGTTTAAGAAAACGTGTGAGTGTATGACGTAACTCTGCAATGTCATTCTCGGTCGTTTGAGGCTTTTCTTTGACTGATAAAACCTCGGCCTTAGAAGATCTAGTGATTTCGAGGATACGGTCAGCAGATGCAGCCAGCTCGTTTACGGCGTTGTTTTGAAACGAGACCAGTACAGCTTGCACCTGTTGAGGAAGTTTTGATAAGAAAAGTTGTTTGAACAGACCATCATCAAAGGTTCTTTGGCCAATAACTTCTTTCATTCTTTGCAACATGTCTGTGGCAGAACCGTGTTGCAGGTCGATGTTGTCATGGAGTTGGTCTAACATTTTTCGATCGGTTAGATCTCCGCGTTTAAGGATGGATCGCTTAAGGGTTTCGTAGGGTTCAGAAACATTACTAGTAAACACACTAGGTGTTACGTACCTGTTGAATTCGCGCGGTAGTGCCTTGACTACTGCGAGGAATTGTGCACGTGTGTCGTTCACGTCGTGCTTGTAGAAGTCGGCTTCTGTGTAGCAAAACCAGGCTTCAGTGTTATCTTACCAGAAGGGCGTTAGTTGGAAAGAAGTTGGGGACACAGTCTTTAACTTAAATACCTTAGGTGTCTGTTCAGTCATGGTGAAACATCAAGTACGAGAATGAACGAGTGGGAAATATATATATCCAAAAACACAGGCAAAAAAATCTCACAATCTTTAAAAAAGTTAGAATAAAGCAATGATATATAAAATCCCAAAAAGGAACAGACCCACAGTTTGCAATTTGGTGTATCAGATCACGTCGGGCTCACCAATGAAGATGCCACAGGTATTCAGAGTTCGACAACGCTTTAACCAGTAACACCTAATACGAATCGTACTCATCAAGTAAAATCAGAAGACAGAAGCGAGGGGGTTCGAAGATATATTTGATAAGCTATCAACATATCGAGGACCGTCTGAACTAATCTGGCTAGCGATTGCAGTAGGTGTTGAGCACGGCGTTCCCACACGTGATCTGGTGCGGATGTATGACCGAGCGCCTTCAGCTAGATGAATCCATCAAAACTAATGTGGTCAGCATCCGGTGTCGAAAACTTACAGAGCTATTTATTGTGGGGATTTTTTACCACTACAGTACCTTCAGTGGTTTTACATGGCAATATAACACTATGTAAGTTGGTTTGTAGACGAAGCATTTTGAATCAACCAATCGTTCGATACTTGTTAGTGGTTCTCACTGTAATTTTTACATGCTTACAAATTATGCACCGAGCTAACGTGTATTTTTACAATGTGATTTGTAATGTTATCAGGTAACTTAAATTCATTGGCGTTACTAAACTCAATTTTTAACTACTGACGATTAAAAGTATTTGGTATTGAAAACAACACTACCCACTTTTACATCGAACCTGTCTTATTTTTTTCACGGAACATCTCCACGTTTAAAAAAAAACCATTTTCAGAAATTCTTAAATTTCTAAAACATTTCTAATGAATATATAAGGTGTAAGGTGGCTGTTTACTCATACAATGATCCTTTCACCATTATGAGTAACATTACTGGTTTCACTTAGGCATTACTTGTAGAAGTCCACTTCTTCATATCAGAATAAGGCATCAGTTATATCACTGGGGGGGGGGGAAGAAGAATGCTTAATCCCAATGGTTTTGTGGTAATAATAATATATATTTCTGCAATGGCATTTACACGCTATTTCTACAGGCATGATCTACAAATTACAACATTTATTGTATGTTAAATAAATATAGTCTATAAGACTTAATATCAGTTCATTCCTTCAGATATACTGAGTAATCATCAAAATATTCTTCAAAGTGACATAATGAAAGTAATATAAGTGTGAAAAAGTTTAGAGGACACAGAATACATCACAATGAGCAATAATAATAATTTGGAACATCAAAGCAAGAAACAGACACAGATAACCGTTTATTGTACCAGGTAAAGTCGAGACTTATTGATCAATTGGTCAGGAATATGCAGGGTCTGACAAATATTTTGTCTAAAATTTCTCTCTCTATATAGACTCCAGAGCTTAGGAAATCAGAGGTCGGCAATAAATGTATTAGAATGCATATTTGAGCAAATGTCAATATATGGGAGTGTGTATTCTTAGCAGATTGCTTGTAATAGATGTGGGGCCGGTGTACTCAGACGTGATCTGATCCGGATATTTGACCGGGCTTCTTCAGCTAGGGACGTGTCCAGTGAATTTAATAAGGTCAGCATCAACGTCGAAAATTTATCAAGCTAGTTATCTGAGGGATTTATTTACCACTATACACAAATGAAGGTAATGAGGATCGATAGTACTCAATAAAGTGAAACTGGAGAAATAAATCCAGTAGTTATGCGAAGTATAGAATCCTTAGTCAACCTCATCAACGCCTTGTGTTGATTGAGGACAGGGATACTTAATTTGTTGGCCACAACAATCCAGGAATATATAATTCAAATGATTGTAACTTGTAGGGAATCGTAAAAACGTAAGCAAGTTTCTAACTCTGTGAATAACTCAGAGTTTAACATTCCAGGGGTAAAAGTAATTTTTAATGGTGGCAGATGATAGTTTTATTTAGTCAGATACTTTATTAAAACTGTTGTTTTCATTTTATGTTGAACCTCGAACGAATCTAGGCCAGTTGGCTGTAATGCGCTAGAATGAAAATCCTTAAACACGTTTTGGGATTTTTGGTTTTCTTAAAGTTCTGTTCACCTTATGTTATTCACTTGAACTCAACAAATTGGAAACAAATGTTAGATGGTGAATGGCTTGTAAAGTTGTAAGAAATTTTTAAAGATTCGATAATATCTCGATATTTAACAGTTTTCCACATGGTATTTTAATGGCTTCCTTAAAATAAGATGTAAGACAACGGTTGTAAAAGTGACACTTGTATTTTTTAAATCCCAATATACGGCGGTTGCCGCAAGTTTCTGTGTAAAATCAGATGATTTTTTAAAAATAGTTTCAGTGGTTTTGTAGAATTTTAGAAGTCGACTTAATTCCAGAATTCAGGAAATAATAAGAAGGCTCACAGGTATTCGAAATTGAATCCAACGTTTTGTCGTTTGTCTTCAAGCTACTCGTTTTCTACTGCGATAAAGCACTATCTAGTCAATCTACTGTGTTGTTGTTTCGACCATCATTATTATAGTTCCATATGTTTCTACAATTTCGCCACATGAAATAGGCATAATTATACTAGAGGGTAATCTAAAATACAGAATGACAGACATTCTTCATTTCTTTACTCTTCTGCAATTCCCCAAGTTGTGGGATTGTGCCTCTGGTAATTAATATTCAAGTTTCGTGTCACATAACGGTAATATAATATTGGCTTTCTGAATACCAATCAATAATAAATATGGATCCATATGGTTTGCGAGATTTTTATTTTCTTGTTTTCATATTATAATAGTTGCTCTGTGGAGTAGAAGTTCAACACTTTATAATGACCTATTTTAATAGATTCCATATCCTGAGTTATTTCCAGATATATTTTAAGGAATATGATAAAATATGGTTAGTAATATATTAGTTCATTCGGATTACCCCCGACCGATAGTTTATTTCCCTGTTCTCTGTATGTTCAAACGGTTCGGGTTCATATAGTAGGTTTTGTGTTGCTTATAATCGACTGGCTAAAAAAAAACAGATTAGCAATTAGTTGATAGTTTTGCTGACTACTGGGTAGCATTCATTTTTAGGTTGATGTCTAGTGAACACATTAACTGCATTAACGAAGTGCTTTAGTAAGTCTGTAATATAAATGGTTTCAGAAGTATTTATTTTTATTTATTTGAACACATTAATATTGGTACAAGGGGGCACCAAATATATATGTGCCACACAAAACAATGATAATTTAAAGAGAAGGGAAAAAAAGGTAAGGAACGTAGGGAATTATAAAAAAAGAACAATAATGGGGGAAACGAAAAGGTACAATCAGAGGAAATCTTACAGTTAAGGAAGAAGCAACCACTTTATAAAGAAAGTAAAAGAAGGTTACAGCAGGATCGCCACTGACTTCTATTCTGAGCCATATCTGATAACGTTTCTAGCCACTGTGTTACACCATCTCTCAGCCCACAAATGCCCTGGTATGGTCGAGAGTGGGGTGGGTTCGCCCTCCCTCTCTAAATACTCTCACACGACCACGCGTATACAGCCTCTGCCAGGGAAGTCTTACTCACTGCCTTTTCGTGGCGGGGATGTTGTTTACGAAAATGAGAGGACGAAAAGCGAATGTCCGGCGCTTTAACCGGATCCCAAATCAATGGTACACATGGGCTCCAGTACCCTGAAGGAACAAATGGCGTATGAACCAATCGTTGGTCACCGGATTCCATGGGACAGCATCTCCTTACGATGCTCCACTGCCTTGTGAGTCAGACGTTCAGGTCGAAGGCTCGGGGTGTGGCCCCCTTAAGAAAACCACCTGCTTCGGTCTGGGCACCCGGGCAGTATCTCAGCCTATCCACAAATATAATGATAATGAAAATGATGATATTCAGAAGTATAAACTGGTTTATTACTACACTTTAGTCTTCAAAAACAATAATATTGCAATTCACTCCTTGTCATTTACTTCACTGTTCGTATTCAATCTGGGCTGATGCATATTTGTGTCAGGCTCTACGTTGATTATGAATGACTGATATTAAGAACTGGGAATTTGTAATATGGTTCTAAAATAAGACATGCAATATCAATGTACGAAAATAATGCGGTTGTCATCACATATTTTTAAGAGCTAAAATATAGGCTTGATCAGTAAGCTTCTATAACTTGGCTGTAATCTGGTTGACTGAACTCAAAAATCCATTTTATTTGAGAGGAACTGTGTAAATTATTTGCAAGTGAACGTAATCAAACTTAGTGAAAATTAATACAACGAATCAAATGCAAAAGCATGTGGAGTTATACATATATGATACATCGGTATAATTTTTATTCATTCTAATCTAAAGAAAAAACCCGAGCACAAATGAACAAATTTGTAGTACTTCACTGACTTTCAATACGGGCATCAAAAATACAGCATACCTTGATACTAAGATTTATTAAAGTTATAATCATACCTCTCTGTTGTATGATCTGCATCAATATGCCAACGCCAGAGGTGGTCAATTTAGATGGTACCTGTAGCTTTAGAAAAGCTGTATTAGGATTCGTATTATGTGGAAGCATTTGTAAGTTTGACATTTCAGCAACTTGGCATTATTTATGACAGGACAGAACTTTCAGCAGAGATGAGGTAATGAGTGCACTAGAGAATAAAACTATACATATAATGAAATAAAGCAGTATAGGAAGTTATCGCAGAGCAAGATGAATTCATTTGTATCAGTCATCGTAAGTATTGTTTGAGTTGGTAGCTAAGCGGAGCTAATAAAATAATACAATTATTCGCTAATGAGTGTGTTCTGAAATACTACCAGGGGGCTATAGGGAGGCAGTTGGTTACCTCAGAAGACTACTCCTCGAGGCTTCGACCATGAGTTCTAATTCTAAAGGGTATAAAGCAATTTCGGAAGACGCATTCTTATAGTAGTTGGAGGCAAAAGTAGTTCAGTTTGTCATCCACCATTCAGGGTCCAAAAGCCCATTTACACTATTGGTTTGGCATTACAGTTTACCAACTCACCTAGGTAAACCTCCGTTTTTACCAACCTTGTTTAAGTGGCGGCTTTTCGCTTCTCGTCCTCTAAGTTTCGTAGAAACCACCGCGTTAAAACACTAAACATGAATTTCACAGAAGAGACTACCAACACATGGCCGTATGAAAACATTGAGGGGAGAATGGATTCTTTTCACTCTTGATTGTACTAAAGTTTTCAGGAGCTCGGGTTAAGGTTTAATGGTGGTCTTGCCGTAGGCTTCTGTGACATCCTGTACAAAATTGATAGAAACCTTCTTAGCTAAAGTCTCTCCGTGTATTGTTGACTGGACTACTTCATATTATACACTAGTCTCCTTTTGATTGTACTCTCCGTTCATCTCTTACTTTTTCACAATGTTTCCATTTGTGTAACGCACGTGTTTTGGTTCTCTGCTGTACCAAAGTTTACGCGTGCTACATAGTAATTTTTATCACAGATTCCAATAACAAAATGTTGATATAACAAATTAAACAAATACATATTTGTGCACTCGCTTTTTATGGAAAATATGTTAAACATACTTAAACAGGTTAGTGCATCTTCTTCTTGGAAGCTCTGCACACAGGATTAATGAAATCAGATTGATTGGGGAAGCTATGTATATCTGAACTGTTTTATAGTATTGTTTTCAAATGTTATCGTTCATTTTGACATAGACAACTGTATTGTTTTAAAGAGAGCAAGAACAAAGGTTGGTACAGAATAATATGAATTCATTTTATTTCGTTAGGTTCTCATCAGCTGCTTACAACCTAAAATATTTGAAATTCAACGTTATTACAGATATTGACATACTTAGACATAAGAGGGTGATGAAGGATGAATATAAATAACATGATGTAGCAAAGATGCTGTTAGAGTTAATGAGGTTATAAAAATTTTGTTTCGAATATATATAGTTTGGGAGGGAAGGTTCCCAAACTATATATATTCGAAACAAAAATTTTTATGACCTCATTAACTCTAACGGCATCTTTGCTACATCATGTTACTTATATTCATCCTTCATCACCCTCTTATGTCTAAGTATGTCAATATCTGTAATAACGTTGAATTTCAAATATTTTAGGTTGTAAGCAGCTGATGAGAACCTAACGAAATAAAATGAATTCATATTATTCTGCACCAACCTTTGTTCTCGCTCTCTTTAAAATAATAAAGGGAACTATGTGTATGAAACAACTGTATTGTATTAACTAGTAATATATAGAGGATTTTTTGTTTTGATTTTGAAATAGTCATGCTCCTTGGTGTCCAGCTTGTCGACAGTTTTCACCAATTTGGCAACAGCTCTCTGACGATAGTTCAATCAATGCTTTTGTCGCAGATGTTGATGTAACAGAAAGTCCTGTACTTAGTTTCATATTTTTTGTCAAGCGATTACCAACTGTCTACCAGTAAGTCTAATTTGAAGTAGAATTACGTTCATAACTCAGTACGTAAATTAGTTATGAATTTCGTTTGAGATATTATCAGTTCGCAATTCTTTGTTTTTCCACTGGATAATTTGTTGAAAACAGCTTCGGGAGACTAGTTTTACAAACAGTTTAATGAATCAACCAGACAGGTCAAATTGTTACTAGTTTGATGTGCCATCTAGCCTAATACTCATGCTGTTTTTTGTATTAAGCTCATATACGTTAAACATTTTTGAACATTCAGAGACCGATAAAAGCATTCATACTTCACTGTTTAAGAAACTATAACATAACAATGTAGTAGACACGGTAAATATCCAGTGTGTTTCGTCCATTTTTTGTCGATCACATTTGCAGCTATGCCTCTTTCGTCAAATGATTCAAGCTTTGTCAACCTTGAAGGTTCATGTAATTAATTGATGATAACAACTTTGGATGCTTTTACAAACATAAAAGTGCCACTTAATATTTATCACCGTCAATGAAGTTGTAAACGACTCGCTTCTTAGTTCAATATTATTAGTTTTCTAACCATCGTATAAAATTGGAATAATTTATTGATCTTTAGTTAAACTTAGTGAATTTTTTAACCATATCATTCTAACTGTTTGTAAAATTATTGCTGTTTATATCGTCTGCTTTTCACTTGCATTTCTAATGTCTCATATTACTCTTCCATTATGGTTTGTTAGTAAGTGTAGCGTTTTCACAAATTATTCCTAGTGATTTTTAGAGTTGCCTACAGTCTTCACTATTTTGACACATTTGAGAAAGGCAAGAATAGTAAATGTAGCAGTATAACACGAAATAATCAATTTTGTGGTTTCTGTTCAACTGCTAACAAACTAGGAACAATGGTACTAATTATTTAAAACTAATGTACATACTTTACATCATCTCAATGTGGATTAATAATTTAACAGTGATAAATGTACTTCCTTGCGCCTGTCTCCCTTCATGGAGAAGTATGGGTCTCCCACCAGCATTATCCATCGAACTTTGTCTTGCGTAATTTTTTCCAGTTGATATTCATTCTTTTCATGTATGCTGCCAATTCCCGACGCAATACGTTTCTTGGTCTTCCTCTTTTCCTTTTGCCTTTAGGACTTCAAATTAGCTCTTGTCTCGTGATGCAGTTTGGTGATTTCCATAATGTATATCTTATCCACTTCCAACATCTTTTCCCAATTTCTTCTTCAGATGGGAGCTGGTTTATTCTCTCCCACTATAGACTTTTGCCGATAGTATCCGACCAACGGACATTGAGTATCCTGCCTAAACAATTGATTATAAATACTTGTACCATTTTGACGATTGTTGTAGTAGTTTTTCAAGTTTCAACTCTAAACAGTAGAACTGTTTCGACGTTCATATTGAAGATTGTGACTTTGATATTGTTTGACAGTTGTTTTGAGTTCCATATATACTTCAACTGTAGGAATGTGGCCCTCACTTTTCCAATTCTTGCCTTTATGTTTGCATCCGATCCTCCTTGTTAATCGATGATGCTGTCCAGGTACTTGGGAGTTCCCACCTCTTCTAGAACTTTACCACTAAATGTGAGTGGATTGGTTGGTGCTCTCTGTGTTGTATTCGAGGATTTTGGTTTTTCTCTTGTATATGTTGAAGCCTTCCAGTGCAGAGGCTGTTACTACATTGGTTGTCTTGACTTGCATTTGTTGGTGTGTATAAGATAGAAGGACCAGATTATCTGCGAAGTCCGAATCGTCTAGTCGCATGCAAGTTATCGATTGTATTCCCCGCTTCTCCTTAGATGTGGAGGTCTTCATAATCCAGTCAATCACCAGAAGAAACTGTGACGTTTGTATAAACTAATTATTCCTTTTTACTTAATTCTCCTCTTGACTTCAAATTCCAAATACAATACTTCCGTTCGTGCTCATCTAGTCCTTTTTGGTCTAAATTGCGTCATTTCTGGGATTCCTAACCGGTACAATAATTCATATACTCATGCTTATCACAGAAACACAAAGGGGGGTGGGAGTGAGCAGCCCTCTGTAACTCGGGTCCTCACTTGGAAACCATCTGTGAGCTGTCCTGCATGCATCTTTTTGTAGTGTAGTCCGTCGTATGAATTTCGTTTGGTGTTGACGATGTTCTATAGTACACCATAGTGAAGAATAAAATTTCAAATGGTCCACCTATCCACACTGTCAAATAATTTCTCATAATCAAGGGGGTTGGTGTATAGTGATTAAATCCATTCATTTTGTTGTTCAGTGATGATCCTTAGTATTGTGATTTGGTCTGTGTACAACCGATCCTTTTGGCATCCAGTCTGTTGATCTCGAAGTTGGGTGTCTACTGCGTGTTTCATCCGGCTCAGCAACGCTATTGAAAACCTTTCCTGGTACTGACTAGTGTGATACCTCTGCAGCTGAGTTCTCACACTTGATCAGATCTCCTTTCCTTGGTATCTTGATGAGGTATCCTTCTTTCCAATCTGTCGGCACCTGTTTCTCCTTCCAAATCTTCCTGAATATAATGTGTAGCATGTTTGCGGTTACCTGTATGTCTGACTTCAGTGCTTCTTCTGGTATGTTGTCAGGTCCTGCTGCTTTCTAACTCTTGATTTATCTAATTGATCCGATTGTTTGTGGATTGACATCTATAAGAAGGTCTATGCGTGCTGCTTCGATGTCCGGTGGGTTTAGTGTGGCTAGTCCATTTAAGAATTCCTCGAAGTATTCTACCCATCTCTTCCTCTGTTCTTGAATCTCGGTGATTGTCTTACCTTCTTTGTCCTTGACCGGTCTCTCTGGTTTACTATATTTGCCTGCTAGTTTCTTCGTTGCGTCATCTCGTCTCATATTTCCTCTTGCAGCTTTTTCCAATGTCGTTTCTAGCCCTCCTATGTATTTCTGCTTGTCAGCTGTAATGCTCTTCACTTGTTTGTTTGCTTCTGTGTATTGAGTTTGTACCTTATCTTTCTCCGATCTTGTTCGGCTATTGTTAATTGCCGTCTTATTGTCCTTCCTTTCTTGAATCTTTTCCAGTGTTTCTATAGAGATTTATTCCTTATGATGGTGTTTCTTGCGGCCTAGCAACTCTTGACATATTGAAGTTAGTACTTCTTTCATCTCTTTCTCGTTATCCTTCACCGTAGTTTCCTCTTCTTTAAGTAGATGTTTTGAGGGTTTTGACCTGTTTTTGAGAGCTATCTTGAATTCATTGAGTTTGTCAGTATCTCTAAGGAAGGCTGTTTTAAACCTTTGTAATGCTGTTTCTCCATTTGTCTATTGCTACTTTAGCTACAGTTTCATCGTGGCTATCACCAGTTGGTGATCTGAAGCTATGTCACTCCCTCTCCTGGTTCACACGTCTCCCATGGACTTTGTGAATTTTTAATGATGCAAATATAATCTGTCTAGTTTTTTTGTAGTGTGATCCAGTACGACTCATGTAGATTTGTGTATGAATTTGTGGGGGAATATTGTGCCGCCCATAACCATTTTGTTGAATGTACATAAATTTTCAGATCTTTCACCATTTCCGTTCATTTCTCCCAGTAGTTTGTTTGTTCTGGCTAAGGTTTTTTTCTCAAAGTTATTGTCTAGGGGATGGGATTTTTGACTCCACATCAAACCCTCCTCCTTTGTTTGGGCTTGAGACCGGTAGTAACCCCAGGAAAGCTACATGCGTAGTTGGCAATAAATGTGGGAGAATTATATTCATTATTCAACCATTAGTACATTTTCATATTTCTCCCATATTAATAACAGTTGCTTTACTAAAATCATCAGTGTGATATAAAGTATATACGCTGATCTTAAATAATTAATATCGTTCTTTTTAGGTTATATTAAGCAGAAGAGAATTTAAAAAATAAATGAATTCATATTATTCCACTAGGTTCGCTGATCATATCTTATGTTTCTAGAACTCTTCGTCAGATACCATGACGTTATTTCTTGATACACAATCACTGTATTATATTAATAAATGTTCTGTTTTACTGTTCGTAATTCGTCTGTTTGTTTATTCGCTCATACCAAACATGGTAAAAAAATCTGAAAGCTTAGAAAATATTTTGTAGAATGTACTCGACCTACTTACAAGTAGTGGAGTAATCTCTGCCAAAATAATATTGCAGCGAAAATAATTATTGAGCAGTAAACATGGCCTGAAACAAATCCAATAAACTATAGCTTATAAATCATTAGTATTAAGTAGAAATAATTGATTTGAAGAACTAGAAACGCAACTCATTACAAACGGGAAATTTGTCATGTTGTTTTAATCTAAGTTGTCCGTTTCTTAAATATGTGTATAAGGAAATAGCGGTGCTGAAAACGAATAGAAATTAATACATTACTTACCTGTGCATATTATGATTTCAGTGTAATCTTTGACAGTTTGAAAAAGTTTGCTATGATGTTTGAAGTTTGAAGCTGGATGAGCTAGTTAATAATGTCACGATTCCTTTAGCCGTATGTTGATGTTAATTTAACACCGTGGGAAAACTTAAAGATGGCTTTTGACTATAGCATTATCAATGAAAAGTATGTATACAGACAAAATAACAAAGTTAGACTTGGTGTCATTATAAAGGAGTGACTTTGACACTAAACTACTATACTTCCATCCATTAAGTCACAAGATCAAAAACTATGATCCACTTACGTCATCTTGGAAAGCCTAGTGGAGTCATTAGCCTTCACACATAAATTGACTTTAAGCCTAGTTTATTAATCTTCATTTGCTTATTAAGTTATATCAAATTAAACTAAAAAACACCTTATTTGGCTATGTATGACTGCTTTTAAAGCACGAAATCATAAAAGTGAATCAATTTGTTTGTATGATTAGCAATTTAATTACGATGAAGTTTAATATATATTTTATTCTTCTTTGCTTAATATAAGAAATACTTTAACTTGACTTTAAATAATTCATCAAGTGCATATCTTTGTATTTCAGTGTAAAAAATGGCCTATTCAGAGTATATGATGGGGCAAGAACTCTTGATGATCTCAGAGTTTATGTGAAATCTGAAAAATATGAAACTGAAACACCTTTACCATGGTATTACTCACCAGCATCTTTTCAGTAATTTTTACGTGTTATTTATAATATTTTCCTTCTATAAATTACATAGTATGCATATTTTCATACGTTTCATGGATCTTGGCATTTTCATTACGGTTTGTATTTATAATTACATTTAATTGTTCATTAACCTTATTTGATTATAGAATACTCATCAAGCATTTTTAGATGCTGGTTATAGTAATTGGATGTCATTTTTGATCATTGGTCTATCGACTATATTTTCCGGACTATTCATTGGAATTGTAGGTTTTCCAAAACAAAAATATTTATTTGTATTTTTTTTTCTTTTAGATACTTGTATTGATTTTTGATTGCTTTTTCCCACCGCGTCCACAAATCCTAAGATTTATTAGGAAAACTAGAAAAGTGGAAGAATCTGTGAGTTTCTCTTTTTTTTCCATGACTTAATTATTCATTTAGTTTGTTTTGCATAAATAAAGGCTCACTGATATTCAGTCAGTAAAGTGTTAGCCCTAACTGAGCCCTTAATTCAGTTTGGATAGCCGAGCAGAGTATCACTAGCTCTCATATAAACAGTATCGCTCAAAGCGGAGTACATAATTTCATACTTGGTGAATGGATCACAGTGTTATGTTTTCATTACTGACCAACCATAGATTTTTTTATTTTACGCTAGAACACATAATAGATAGCATGATAATCAAAGAAAATTATAATAGGGAGTCAAATATTAATGGTAGTTACGTAAAGTGGATAAATGAATTTAACAATTACGTAAAAGGGAAACAGCAAAGGAAAATTGGGCATCGATTTTGTTGATGACCAGTTTTAAAAATTCCTTGCGAAGCCATTCATTTGGTTTGTTCAGATGGATATGAGCAAATTTCGGGTAAAGACTAAATTAGTCGACCACCATCTTATTCTCATTACACGGACAATTTCGTCGTACGTACTAGTAAAGTGACAAATCTAAAAGCACACATCCGTCTACCACGTTCACCCTAGGTGAGGAATTTAATTATAATATCACTTTTTAAGTGTCTTGTTAATAAAGAGATTAAGTGGAACATCAAAAGAAGCTATGTACAAGAAATCAACACCAACTAGTCAGTATATCTATCTTGCACCTAGTGAAAAGTCTAACATATCGCGACAAACGTATTTATTTTGATCAAATAATTGGAGATGAGTTAAAAGATACTCACAACTTACTGTGAACAGATATCTAATAAAAGTGTATTGCTATTTAAGAACTAGTTTTAGGAGTACCTGTTACTTTTAGGAATTATTATTATCGAATTTTGTGTTGCTCTCCGGATAATGTCTGTTGATGAATTGCATTGTATATCCGTTCACACTGAGTTGCAGGTGATATGAAGTTAGTTATTTACGTAAAGTAAATTGAAAATCTAAATTTTACTACCGTTTATTGTACTTATTCTCACAATTTAACGTAGTATACTGCTAAGGCAAACATAGGGTTACCCAATCATTGTCAGTAGTTTTAAGTCATACTAGTAATCGTAACTACTAATGCTTCTTTCTCAATCCAATTTTTTGCTTGACCTTTACCCTTTTCCGATTGCTTGTCACTACTTTTAGTTCACTTATTTGCTGTGTGCTCGGAAGTCATGTTTATGTTATTGAGTTGTACTATTTCAGACTGCCCAAATGCCATGTTTTCATTACCTTTCTTTTTTCTGTGTTCGCGGTTAATTGTTATGTGCCCAACTGCCGTTATAGAGTCCTCAACAAAACCGTTCGTATTAGTATAACTCAATTTTTAATTCAAAGGTATCTTAGGCAAACCAGAAACCCCGACACTTAATCGTTTTTTTCAAGACACGACATATTTTTGTATGTGATGAAATCACATTCAGAGAGTACTATTGTATCTTTTTTTAAAATTTAATATGTTCTTCAGATATTTTAAACTAACTTTATGTTTTTAGTTACAATATGAAACAGAAAAATCCAAGTCTAATGTTCACGATGGCGATGTATCAGAGGAAAATGTAGATGACGAGATTACGGAAATTCGTCAAAGGAAGGTCGATAATAATGAAGTTCATGATTCATAATCTGATGTATTGCACAGATATTTACATATGCTTAGTTTCTTTCTAATATCACTGTTTCATTTTTTCAATTGTTTTGGTTTTCGAACTCCTCTAGACAACTTTTACATACTCGATTGGTTATCGAATTAGACCGTTTTAATCTAATATGTTTATTCATGCCTTAGTATGTAAATTGTAAGAGTTAACTAAATGTGAATATTAGCGCATGCGGGTATAATGGATTATTAATAATATATTTAAAGTAACCTGGTCAAATTGTAAGCAACTTGCTGTATGTTTAAATTACACAAGTGTAAGAAATTGAAAAATTAGCGGTTTTCTAGATATGGTACTCTTGTATAACTTCCAATGAGTTTTCTTTCTTTTTGTGTTGGAAACTGTCATCATTTCCTATAATCTACAGAAAATTTGACATATTGATGGATTAGAATGGCTACTGTTTTTTACCACATGAAAATTTTCATTTTCGGAATACTAGACGGGAGTAAATCGCACTTGCGGAAATCTTAGTTAAGATTCATTGTTTTCTCAATATAGTTGACACCGTATAAAGATCATGCTGATGTCAATATTTTGAATGTATTAGGTAATTGACTTTCAAAATGTAACAAACACAAATAAGCAATTCATAAAATGCGGAAAACAACTTGCATCTCATCAGGTTGAAGAGAGGTATTCTAAAAACAGCTTATTAGTATATAAATTAATTTAAAAATTCTGTTAATAAACAGTTGGAAAAAAAAACAAGATTAATACTTATTTTGGAAAGATGCAATCTGCCTTAAAAAGCACATATTTTAGGTTCTATTAGTAAGTTTTTTCATGTCCTACTTTTCTTCTAATATTAATATTATGTAACATAACGTTGTTGATATTGACGGATGTTTATTGCAATATTGAGTGAAGTTAAGTACGCTAAACAATCATCCCAATAAATATAGAGCAAAACTCGAAAGTTATTACCTCCAATGTTTTGTCACGCTTCAAATCAGAGCAGTAATAGAAGAGGGAACCAAAGAAGTAAGTTACAGGAATTTTCCTAGTAGACAACCAAAGCTATCACAAGACTGCTAATAATTAAAATAAAATGATGGACAAAAAGACTGATGACTTTTGTAATTGTCAAATGAAAAAAAACCCAATAATTTATATACTCATAATCTGATGTTTCTCATAAACGCCAGTTTCTCTGACACATCAAAGCCTGGAAACAGTTCATCATCTCAAAACAATAGTTATGACAGTGGATGACGGTGATAATTCTATGGAAGTCCAAGTATACCACAAGCTGAATTCATCACTATAGACGAATAACATGTCGACATAAGTTTATTCCACAAATGTAAATCATTTTCTGTTATGCGAAACAACAATAGTTATTTGCATTTTACAAAATCGTCGGTAGAATGTTTCGTAACGATACTGTTTCACAACTTATCAGATAATAGTAGTGCATTGTGCTGTAAACATGTTGACATAGTAATCAATAAGGACAGGTGAGTCCTTGAAATGCAGAAGAATTCGTGGTCATAGTGATCAGAAAATTAGACATCACAGAAAGACCCTATAAAGCAAGCTTACAATTTGGCAAACTGCCGAATGTAAATATCATGAAATGCATGACAGGACATTGAAATACTGAAGTACAAAGCGATAGGCCCAAACGAAAAGTACGGTTGCTACCTCATTGCCTCTTGTCTTACTGGACTGTGAAATTTTCGAGACCACAATGCAAATAATTCTAATCTAGCAGAAATGTATATCTGGAGTACAGGAAATTTCTATGAGGTCAGTTAACAGCTTTAAATAGCAATACCTAATAAACGTACTTTTTGTCACGAGCATTATTAATGGTGGATTTCCCGTATGATGTAAACCGTTTACTGTAACGAGAACCGCTCCAATTATTTGTACATGAATACGGGGTTCGTTCACTAAATGTAGCGACAAATAGTTAGGCTGTTCAAAGTTTAAATTCAAAAATTAAATCAATCCTAATGTACAGATCGCACCAATTAAATGGCATAATCTCTGTTGTATCCGATCTGTTCTAACTATAATGGAAACTAATAGAACCGATCAAATAATTGGACTGAGCAATCAAGAAGGAAAGAGCGAATTATTTATTCTCCCTTCTCAATGGGATTCTTCCCTCACGTAATTTGAGAATTCTTATTAAGCATTGCAGACTAAATTAGAAGATGCTCCTAAACTGCCGCTACCTTAAATGTTCTACTCAGTATGCGTTAAGGTAACAAGAACTGCCGTTTTGTCACTAAAAATAAGTACCATAAGCACTCGGGAATCATACATTATAAATAAATGATTTTTGGTGATGTTATGTTTAAGGACCATTAATAAATCTACCAGATAACGTTGTATATTAAAAATGTGCAAAATATGAAACTTGCCAAACAACTATAGAAGAAATATGTCATTTTACTTAATGAAATTACATTTGATTTACTCAATTTTAATATATACCTAGGTATCAGTTGTCATTACTTCTTTTTATGGTAGATACAACTGCACGCTGAACGCAGCATTAAACATTTCTTACCTGTTTTATCGAGTCTTATTGCAGGTTTTATTAAGGGTATTTAGTAGAAACTAGTACTCTTTCGCTGTGCTGATATACGACGAGGCAACAACATGAACCTATGCACAATCTGCCATAGGCCTTATAATGTTGACTGATCAGCCCCAATCTATCTAAAATATACTATCCACACAATTTATCACTTTAAAAAAAACTAAACATTACGTGGCCATGAATTTAATTAGATTCTTTAAATATTGTATTTTTCTCAAAAGTACATATTTCTGCACAGTGCTATGTAGACAAAATACTGATATAGTAAACAAATAAATCTAGTCATTAGCATATACAAAATAAACATATACACAAAATGAAGACCCTAAACAAGCTAGGGAAATAATCATTCAACATAGGCGTGAATCATATCCAGCGATAATCCAAAAGTATCAAATACAAGCTTCCCTAGAAGTGAATGTTAATAAGTACTTATTGCAAAGTACTAACAAAGTTCAGTAGATTGTTGTAAACAAAATATTGACAAACTACTTTTATTTTCAAAACCATCTTATGATGACTTGATTCGATAACTTTAGTCACACTATAAAGAATTTATGATATCAGGTTTAAAAAATGTTCGGCTAAGGTTAGTTACATCGCAAATTTATTCTCTGACAATTACCTAGCGTTTCAACTAAAACACATAACAGTTATTAACAAGAGAAAAAAACAAAGTATGCTAAGACTAGAAAAAAGGAAACAAATTATGATATGGTTGGGAAGGCCTGTCATCCTACGACATGACTTCAGGGATTGATTTTTAGACTAAAATTTGTACTGGAAAAGGTCCTATCAGCTTCCGTGCTGATATCTTTGTACTAAACGAAATGGTCATTGCAACAGTCAATTATGGGTAAGTGCCCGACTTATGTGATCTACTGTGCCTAGTAGTTTACACTTACGTGCCAAAGTACATAAATAAAAAAACAAGGTTTGGCATCCGCATCTCTAAACGTGTTCCATAAAAAAATAATCGAATAATATTTTCAGTAGTGTAAGCGCTTGTCATTTACAGTGAACATGATATCGATAATTCAGAATTCTTTAAAATAACCAATAAATAAAAAATAATCGAATCTGTTGAGCATCACTGGATTAGTCATTTTTTAAGTATTATATAAACAATGACAGGAATCTCCAATTTCGAAGAATTCTCTCTCCGTGCTCTTCTTAGTTTTTTTCTTCTATAATATTTAATCTATAAATGAGTACATTGTCCTTTGGATAATTCTTTCACAATTTTTCTTTCTATTAATCTACATATCAGACCCGACTGTAATTAAGACTTCTCATTTGAAGTATGTTTATTGATCTTTTTTAATGATTAATACTATTGTTTCTAGACTGTAAATGGCTGAGAAGAAACCACGAAATAAATTAATTCTAATTATTCAGCTACACTTGTTATTCTTACCTTATTTATGAGTGAATCAATGAAAATAGAGAACTTCGAAATCTTTCCTCTGGTGAATCAGCTCATATATTTTTAGTGTATGTTTATTAAACAATTTATGGTATTTTATTATTGTCCTAATTATGAGCTTTCATTTGACGCATTAACTGTTGCCATAAATTTTTCCGTTCATAAATTATAATTATTACTGAGACTTTGTAACGCAAAAATTATAATTATTTACAAATTATGTTTCATTATCCCCGCTGTGTTGTGAACTTTTATTGCATGTATGAGATCACGTGAGTTTAATAACAATACGAGATACTGTACCAGCTTGCTAGTATTTTGATTGGTGGCTGGAGACTGGTGGACATTTGTGTGGCGAAATCGGTGTAAGTATATAACTTAGCAGAGGTAAAATGTTAGTTTCGATAGTGTAGTAAGAAGACGAAGATTATCAGAACTATGTGATATATTAGTGCAATACATTTCGAACAATCAGGATATGTACCACCGACAAACTGGAAGAATTGATGAACGTGGGAAAATGCCTACGAGACAACTTTTACCAACAAAAGTTTGTTGACAAATATACAAAGCTTAAAGAAAACAATGCTGAGGTAATTATGGTCAATAGAAAACCAATAACTATAAATCTTAACTTCAAAAGTGATGTTGCAAACACAATCAACCAGAACTTATCCGGCAGCCAAACTTCTAATTCTGTATAAAACAACATGTTCAATAACTGAATCAAAGGTTAACAAGCACCCCTTTTATGTTATTGCCAACTGTACTTATAAATTTACGTAGACCTGCTAAAGCAGCTATATTGGCCAAACAGAAAGGAGGGTATTTTTTGAACATGTTCCAAAAAGTCTCAGGACAAGAGGAAGAAAGACTAAACAGTGTAATCACCAAACATTTCCCTGATACATGACATCAGGTCGATGCCCTACAATCATTCAAAGCGATTAGTAATCAGCCAAACTCCAGTCTTCTGAAGCCGTTGCTATCAGACGCCAAAAACCTGATTTATGTGTTCAAAAGGAGATGGTTATTAATCTTTCCTTGGATTGGTGACTAATATTTTTTTCTTTTTTTAAACTTTTTCTTGCATTTATTACATCATTGAGTTTTATTCCAAATTAATAATCTTATTTTATCAACTAAACTCTACTCATTTTATTCCTATCAATATTTACTTGTTTCTAGCCGTTTGAACTGTTGTCACAATGTTGTAGAATGTTCTTTTACATAAGGTATATATTTACAATATTCAGTCTATTAAATTTATTTACACCCCTGATACTCTATACTGATACGTCTTCAATATAACTTCGAACTAAAGCCTCTCATGTAAGTAATTTAAACCCATTATATAATTATGATTTTAAATATCACAGGTTGTAAGCAGCTGAAGAGAACCAACGAAATAAAAATGAATTCATGCTATTTTGCTAGAATGTTTGTTCTTTCTCTTTTCAATCTGACCACGCATATACTTGTTAAGAACATTTATATGTAAAAATAAAAGGTCAAATAAACTGGAAACGGGGGTAGAAGTGTAGTGAACAAATCACAAGTGGGGACAATCGGATGTATTTGACACAAAATTACAGAGCATCTCAATAAAATCTGAGAACCATATAGTAAATCGTTAATTTGCAAAATATCAGTCCATCATATCAAACTTGACTGTTCCTGTTGCAAACATCAATCTGTTGTCTCAGATTTTATTGTTCATGCGTTTTCATACCAATCGCGTTCCCTTTCTTTCCTCATCGAACTTCTACTGAAATACATTCTATGCCTGACCACCGTTATATACTACTTGTGTGGATATAAGTAACCCACACCACAAGAGAAGACAAGGATAATAATAGAAGTAATAATAATGTGGAAACAATGTGAAACCTAATCACTCTGGATAATAAGCTAATATTACCAGGGTGGGTTTAAGATGAGAACAAACTGCTTTTGAATACACAAAAGTTTGAATTTTCGTATGGCTAAGGTTTCAATAAACCTAAGTATACGCCCTTCTACACTATTATACAGCATCACAAAAACCGAGTTAAGTTCAATCTTATGGCCTGTTACGATTATATGTTTAGCAATAGAGGATAGTGAATGTTTATACTCTACTCTTATTAGGTCACTTGATTCTATTTGTTTCTGCAATCATTTTGGTACATGTTCACACACCCTAATTTTGAGATCACGATTGCTCCTCCCTATGTATGTGTAACCACACACACATTTAAATTGGTAAACACAGTGGGATGTGACACAATCGTTTTCGTGTCTTCTAGGTTTTGGATGAAACATGCACCGTGTTCTTTCTTTGATAATGACCTTTGCTGCGCAATACGTTTTGTTGATGACTGATTTAAGTCTTTGTTTTATTAAAAGGCTATTTGAATCACCCATAAATAGTGATTTATATATATAAATGTTCTTAATACGTACATGTGTGATCAGATTGTTCGAAATGTTTTGTGCTAACATATCACATAGTTCTGATAATCTTCGTCTTTTTATTACACTATCGACACCTATCAAAGAGACTAATTGCTTTAAAAAGTTAGTGTTGTTTGCGTAAACGGGAAATACAACAGCTCTGACTAATTATTTTTATACGATACTCACTAGCTGATAAAAACGGAAGCGGAATTCGAACTTGAAACCCAATAGTTGAACATTAAGTGCTGTAATGGACCCTGGTGAAAATTAGACAGAAATTTAAATTTTTTCAAAAGAAAAAACGCGTATATATTTTATCATACATCCAGACAAAAAAAAGATAAATCCAATCACTAAGAGAAAAAATCCAATAAAAATTATATGATGGTGAATTGTTTAAAGTGACAGCATACATAAGCGAATGAAGTAATTGGTAAGCAAATAAATAAATCAATATCGGAACGTTCATTTACGAATTTCATCAGTAGTACAAATTAAAATATGCAGTAAAATGTTGAACCTTATGTTTCTTTATACTCACAATGCGTGGAGTTGAACCGTGTATTCTTATAAAAATGGGTTCAAATACAGGTATGAAAAATCATTTAAAAGAATTTCCTAATAAAAATCAACCTATTTAATCACTTGTAAAATAAACTGGATTCATTTGTGTCGAAGTAAATTCTTCAAACAGAATAGCCTTCATTTAATGAATACCAACTAATTACAAAATGAAAAACAAATATAGAAACATTTAAACAAACCGGAAGAATAAGTTTCCTCTGATTAGACCAACGAAAAAAACGTCAATTTGAACTAAGAATCGTGATGACCAATGCTAAGGGGCGTCTAAATAAAGCTAAAGCATTATACAATTGCTTATAATTCAATCAGATTAAAATTTCATCAGTTATAAATGAGTAGATGTTGAGCATTTTCCTCTCTCCGTCACATTATTTTATCTAGGATCAAACCAATGTAAAACATGACAGCAAGTAATGAAACTACCAAGTAAGATACTGATTACTCCCTTCGAAAAAAGAACAATTTAATCATAACATTATTCTTACCAGTTATAGTTGTAAGGATTTATCGTTGTTAGGAAAATTATTATTTGTAAATAAAACAAACAATATCAGATATTATTAGCGTAAACAATGATTTATAATCAGAAACAATATATGATTTTATACTTTTTATCACAAATTTCATGTATTGAATGGATATTCATAGAACAGAATGAAAAGGGAAAGGTATTAGTAATAATCCTAACGATATATAACCATTTATATCCATACATATGTTAATGTATTACTTTTTAACTTTACAAATAAAAAAAATTATTTAATGTTCCGACCAATTTTATTCCTTTACCTCTTTCCTTCGAAAAAAAACAAACAACCTATTAATATTGTTAACTAGCATAAACAATTATAATATAAGGATAACATTAATAGTAATAAAGATGGAAACTTAAAAAGACTATCAGAGATCTGTTGTATATGAAATTTGTAAAATAAAAACAAAAAAAAACAATATCCAAACAAGAGCAAACAAACAAATTGAAAAGGCACATGAAAAACAAAAGGAGTATGATAACTATCCAGCGTAAGAAAATGATCATAACCTCCTTCTTATATCTTATTTTTATACAGAACTGAAATATACTATTTCGTTAGTAATAATGGTATACGAGGTATTACCAAAAATGTTTGTAGAGATTAATTGGCATGCTGAAATTGCAAAGAAAATTTTCCAAAATATAAGTTTATTATGTGAAAAAATTTTTAGACTAGATTAATCCGTTCGAAAAAAAGTGGGAAGCAAATGTTATAATTAATGGCAGCGACAAAAAAATCAAGATAAGCTGACAGTAGTTCTTTGTCCATGTTTTGGAGTGGGGTTTGTGTATTATTCTTAGTCAATAAATATAAACTTCTGCCGTGAGCATTATTCGTTATGGTAACCATTACGAAGTGCTTGTTCAGAATTTCTTTTAGATGGTGGTACTAAATGGGCAGGAAGTGTGGGTGGTAATTCGTAGCCTTCTAGTTTTAATTTCATTATATAACAAACTAAAGCGAATTCATCAGCATCTAGACAACCATCACGATCAATATCACCTAGAATCCAGATATTTTTCAATGCACTATAAGGTAAATTGGATTTGACCATATGACTACGTGAAGCTTCACCGCTGATTTTACCATCCACAGGATTTAGCTTGTCAAACTCCTTTAAAATGAAAAAAATAATGCATAGAAATTATATAACACTACCAATATACAAAAAATCCATTGAAACCTGGAATTATCAATTTTATAAGGTTATGATTAAGTTCTGATGATTAACAGGATCTCATGTTCACTCTACACTTATACCAATCAATAATGTTTCAAAATTATTAAAACGTATTAAACTGTTATTTGGTAAAAATGAAATGACTGAAGTGCTCCAACTGATAAGTTTTTAGAAATGATTGATCTTCAAGTCATAAAAGAACAAACTGAAGTTAAATATATTCATAAACATTGATAGTCCAATTACAACTCGAAAATTCTGGCTTGCACAACACAGTTGTTACAGTTTTCAGTGGCTTGCATTACGAAGTGACCGTAATCAGATAACTATTTGAAACTAAGCAGCGCTTGAGAGCAGTTTTGTCCCAGCATAGGACTCATCACCAGTGGACATCACCAGGAATTGAATTTCGGATCTTCAGTTCTCATGTCGAGAGCATGACCTTTGAATCACTGCGGCGGCGTCCTTTGGTCTCCATGTCAAAGTGCAATATTTTTATGATGTAGCACATCCATATTACAATGTAATCTGCAGGTAACTGCCTCATATCAAACATGGCCGGACTCTCCTGATTACAGTTTCTCACCAGGATTCCGAGAATTACCTATCGAAACTAGTTAGTAAAGAGCATACATGATAATTTTTAGTACAAGATGTTTATGGATATTCTTAAGTTTTATAGTTTATATCAAAGTCTAAAGATTAAACAATAGCCGCACAATCCGGAAGTCTTGGTCTTGATTCTCAGTGGTAGTGTTCGTAGCTGACAAGTCCTTCTTGATAATTTCTTTCCGGTTTTCAATGGTTGTTTAGCTAAGTTTAGTTCGTGATATGAACCATGAAATTTAATAATCTCTATGGTTTTCCTAAACTTATTATTACATTTTCATTTATTTGTGTACCTGTATTAGACAAAGGTTTTCTATATGGTGAACAGTTGATTTTACTTTTTGAATATAACTGCAAATTAACTGGTGACAAAGGTAAAAAAATGAATGTCATATTGATTAACAAAAAATTCGAAAGAGATCAATACTTCAAAGGGTCATATATAGAATTGATACTGTGAATTTTTATACTGTCTTAAAAATGTGATTATTAATTAATGATGAATACATTTCGACGCATTTCTAGTAAGAATTGATATTAAAGCACAATAATTGATTTAATAAAATTGAAACATGACTGAAAAACATATGAATTTCGCAGCTAAATGAACATATTTATAGGAAGAAAAAACGAAGTTAATTAAAAGTCATGGATACCAAGGGACAATATTAAATACAGATCTATGCATACATTAATAATTAGATGATGAACAGTAGTTTAATGGTTACAACAATAGAGCATTATTCCTAAAATTACCAGTTTAAACTACACGTCACTAACTTTGGATTTGGACAGCTAAATAATACAATTATTATTGGCATTAAATGATTATTTATTTATTTATTTATTTTAACACATAAGTATAGGTACAGGGAGGCACCAAGTACATATGCGCCACACGAATCTCAAATGATTTGTGTGAGGGCTGTGATACTACTCGGGTGCCGAAACCGAAGCAGGTGGTTTTCTTAGGGGACCACACCCCGAGCCTTCGACCTGAACGTCTGACCCACAAGGCAGTGGAGCATCGTGAGGAGATGCAGTCCCATGGTAGCCGGTGACCAACGATTGGTTCATACGCCATTTGTTCCTTCAGGCAGGATACTGGAGCCCATGTGCAACATTGATTTGGATTCCGGTTAAAGCGCCGGACATTCGCTTTTCGTCCTCTCATTTTTGTAAACAACACCCCCGCCACGAGAAGGTACTGAGTAGGACTTCCCTGGCAGAGGCTATATACGCATGGCCATGTGAGAGCATTTCGAGAGGGAGAGCGGACTCTCCCCACTCTCGGCCGTACCAGGGCATTTGGGGGCATTAAATGATTAACTTAGAGTCGTGTAGATGATCCAGGATTACGTAACGAAAATGCATTATCTATGATCATTTTAACATTCCATCAAGGTGTGAAATTTCAGTCCCTCAGTTACTATCTGCTTTGATTCGAAACGCATTCGTGAAATATAGGAAATAAGAAGTTACATTAAAAGATATAGAGAGCAGGAATTGTTTTTCTGAATTCTACCAAAACATGCTATTTCTGTGTAGTGTTCAATCCGTATGAGAAATATGGAATTGAAAATAGTTGAAATTTAGTATCCCTAAAGAGGATTTATATGTATCTTTACTTGCAAACAGCTATCATAACAATCCATAAGAAACAATCTTCTTATAAGTACATTTTGATACAATGTAAGTTAGAACTACTATCATTAAATTATACTATTGTTTTTACAATCTTAAAACAAAACTAAATATGTCAAATAGAGTATAAAAATTGACATAATTGTCAAAAATTTATTTCGATGATGAATTTCAAATGTATTTATTACATCTTATACAGATTTCAAACTTTTTTTAAGTATCTTTTTCTGGACACAATATTTCTTTTTAATGGTATAAACAACTTTTTGTTCACAATTTTAATCATTGCTTATAGTTATCTACAGATAGAGAAAGGACATAGAAACTGAATACGTACAACTAGTTAAGTAATAATAATTATATATATATATATATATATATATATATATATATATATATATATGTAAGCGGGTACAAGTATTTGGACTAATGTTAGTGAACTTGTTCAATTTTACATACGATATTAGGACGATATATGGTTGACTAAAGCTGAATACAAATCCTATTATTATTATTATTACTGACATTATTAAAACATAATTATTGTGTAATAATTACCAGCAGATATTTTTTTTATTCAATTTTATTTTGATTAACTTTTAGCGTGGTTAAGTACAACAACATTGGGTCAGCGAAACCCGGAATCAAATTCAATATGATTACGCAATAATTCTGGTTTAAATATTATAACTTCTATTTTTTTTTAGTATATGTAAGGAGATTAGCACGTCAGTAAACCAGTGTAAATGTGTTATGCTTTAAAACACACGATCATCCAAGCGTAAAAACTATATATATATATATATATATATATATATATATATATATATATATATATATATATATATATATATATATAGCAGTAGGACAAGAGACATATGAACCAATAATGATTAACAATCAAGTATTTAAACAAATATGTCGCGAGCTTCCTGTAGAATCCTTTACGTTTTACGTTTCTGACTTTAGCTTTCAGATGTTGCTGGAAAATTTAACAGTTTGAACTGATGTACATTGTTAGGTTCAACGCCTCATCACCAATCTGTTATAGTTTTGTAATCATAAAGTCTGATCAGCCCTGATGCATTTGGTGTTTGACGAAATATTGGTACAAATTCAGAAAGCTCAGCTGGCTTGTGGCAAGAGATTCATCTATCAACCAAAGGGCGAGTTCAATGTTCATCAGTTCACTTTATTCCACATTATAGGTGTGAAGCGTAAATATTAAAAACAGAGGGTATTCGTAAGTAGCTGGTATTTGACCACAGATTCTTTCGATGCATCGTAAGCGTATTTTGGAACCACAGAGTGAGAAACATTGAGGTTAGATGTAGGGTAGATGAAAAAGATAGTAAATCTGTCGATGAAGTAATGAATCTTTAACTAGGACTGTCAGAACATGTATTACGTATGCCCGATCATAACCTACATACGATGACGGCTGGTTGAGTAGGTTGGAAGAAAGCTAAAAGAAACAACACTAAATCGTGGTATCAGTTCATGTAATTATTGACTGTTAATCTAAGCCGCGTACGCAGGTGCAGACTACCTAATTCGGAACAGTGCAATAAACGTCACCAATGGTAAGACTTTTGGGGACACGTTCAGAATAGCTCAAAATGACACAAACATATTCCCTCCTTGTCTTTCTATATATCCTAAACTTCTTAATTATCTTAAAATATTTTAACTCCACAAACTCTTAGTTTCAAGCCTGATTTTTGCTGTTACCGCTGACACTGTTACTGTTTATACGAATTTGGCATCTTGTTGTGCCAATGTGGTGTTGCAGACTAAACGTATGTGTCAGGTTCTACATTGTAAATGACTAACTGACTGATATTCTTCTAGAAAGCGTATTACAATTTTATGCATACTTTATATTTCTACTTACTTTATCCCATGGTTCTCTAAAACGATCTACAATCCATTCCTTTTCAAAGCGACCCTCTTCAAATCCTTCACCAGCATGAAAACTGAATGGTGTACCCGACGTATCGAATGCACCACCTGTAACAGCTGGACCATGTGTTTCTACGATTGCATCACGTTCCTATTAAAAAACAAAGCGTTACATAGAAAGAACGTCAATTTAAATTTATTCAATAAAACTGTTTACACTGTAACAGGCATAAAAATGGTATTTTTTGAACAAAGTTCAAATGATTGCCATCATTAAATATAAAAAAGCAATCAAAAAACAACATGATAGTGTAACGGAAACAAAATGTTTAATATAATTCCATAAAACGGAAGCCAAAACAAATTACTGGTTTGGTATGTAATTATTGATTTCTTAGGAGGAAAATGATTAAATAATGTGTTGACCTACACCTGTTTGCCAAACTAAATGCATAAACTATTACAGAGAAGTATTTCTAATGATTTTTAGTGCTGCCATCTGTGTTTAATTACTTGAATGTTAATTCATTGGGCAATAGGGATTCCTTTTGAATATGGGACCAGATCCTATAACTAGTGTTACAATGGAACTTGTGGAGTGGAAATACAGACTAGAAATCGATGCCAATCGACCAGACCTTATGATACAGGTCGAACACATCACAATAAAGACAGTAATTATGTAAAATCATGGGATGACTGAAGTTGGGAAACATGGATCATGAAATTCCGATTGGATAATTTTTTACTCATAGAAATGACTGAGAATTATGAAATATCAATCTAAGAAATGACAAACTAGAGCGAAGTAGATGTCCATAGTTCTTTGAATTCACCTTAAGAAGTGAAATCAACGGTATTTATTTATTTATTTATTTTAACACATAAGTATAGGTACAGGGAGGCACCAAATACATATGCGCCACACAAATCTCAATTGATTTGTGTGAGGGTTGTGATACTGCTCGGGTGCCCAAACCGAAGCAGGTGGCTTACTTAGGGGGCCACACCCCGAGCCTTCGACCTGAAGATCTGATCCACAAGGCAGTGGAGCACCGTAAGGAGATGCAGTCCCATGGTAGCCGGTGACCAACGATTGGTTCATACGCCATTTGTTCCTTCAGGATACTGGAGCCCATGTGCACCATTGGTTCGGGATCCGGTTAAAGCGCCAGACATTCGCTTTTCGTCCTCTCATTTTTGTAAACAACAGTAATGCCACGAGAAGGCAGTGAGTAGGACTTCCCTGTCAGAGGCTATATACGCATGGCCATGTGAAAGCATTTCGAGAGGGAGAGCGGACTCTCCCCACTCTCGGCCGTACCAGGGCATTTGGGGGCGAAATCAACGGTATAGTATTGCTGATATTGTAAATAATCAATATCGGACATGTGTATTAGTATTTAATGTCGAAAAAATATGCTACATATGTTTGACTCTGAATCACTATTTTAATAATAGTAATTCAATCTTTTAAATGTTAAAAATATCAAAAAAAACAAATATCGGATATGTTTATGTATGTTGTTATCTGTGTTCAACAATTTGTATCTAAATCAATGGATTGAAATGATCAACTGATGAAAATAATAATAACAATCAATTACAATTAATTATGTGCATATTTACTGGATAATTAACAATTTATCATTGATAATGACAGTAAAGACAGGTTGTTAATTGGTGAATGAACTGAGTGGAATAGAACTTCGCACTCTAGTGTATAAACTATAATTAACACTGTTCTCAGTAGCATAAAAAAGAGAAAGGTAATAAGAAATATAGAAACAAACTAAAAAGAAATACTCGACGGGAAAGTATAGACTCATGAAAGAAATCTTTTGTTTTAAATTAACGAGTATAAGTGGGTTTAAATAGGATCGACTTAAGAAGTTCACTACATGAAACTTATCTCAATCAAAGCTACACTGAATAAGCTGAAACAAATATCTAGTTGTTTTGAATCACAAGTATTGATATTAAATAATGGACCTCAGTTTAAATTTTCGGAAATGTCAAAATTTTGCATTACCGATGCCGTCAAACACATCATGACTCCCCCTTACAACCCATAGTTAAATGGACAGGTTAAGATTCGTGGATACGTATTTTAACAGTTGAATTCACGTGGCAATCTAAGCTAGACCACCATTAAAAACCTGGAAGCACTTTTTAGTGGGACATAGATTGGATTTAAGCATGCTCAATACACGATTGCTTTGGCGCACGCTGATTGGCTGATTCTTATCCAATCAGCGCTAGTCGATACTTGGAGAAGACTCTAGAATCTTCTTATGTAAAAACTATAAATATACTAACGGTTTTCCTATTGTGCTTCTTGCTTCCATCTAACCTTGTTATTTGGAATATAATCTCCTTCCTGTTCAACCGTGTTCTGATTTGGGGCCTTGTCGAGTGAATTGGTGTCCGTGAATACTAAGCAATAGGAATAGCTGGGTTATAACCGTAAGAGAGAGAATTATAACAGCACTGGACGGTTTTTAATTATGGTCAATCTAAGATTGACCCACGAATTCAAATGTCGAAATACTACAATCTCCACAAATCCCCATACTGATATTATTCGTGTATTTGCAACTTTTTAAAAAGCCCTTTAGATAAAAAAAGGCTCGTTTGAAATGCATCCAGGCATAAATAGTTCGTAACTGGTATCTTTCTAGCTATTAGGACACATGTTAGCAAAAAAGGACCTAAATATATATGGGCACCACGAACTCCACTAGTCTTCAAAAAACTATAAAGGCTATAAATTTTCTGAGCAAACAATTTTATGAGAAATATTGGTTATGTGAATGAAGAGATATTTAAAACAATCGGTTTTTGTGAGAAATATTATCTAAAACCGTATATTTTCACACGAAATTTATACACATAATGGGATAAAAGAGGGTTATGTAAATATGAAAGAAAGTGACCACACTCTATTCAAAAGGTATGATCCGAATAAATCCAAGGGATTTTCAGAATACCATTCAAGTGAAAGAAATTTACGGTGATGCGTGTGATGAAATCTACTAAGACATAAAGCACAAATTTAAGACGATAAGTCGGTCGATGAATTTGTAAACCTACCAATTACGTGACCAAGCTGTTTATTATATATAAGCAGCTACCACTCACCACTACTCATATTGACTAGAATAGAAGCAGACTGGAATGAGGTAAAGACCCTGTTGATATCATGATATAGCGTCACTTCGTGAAGTTATTAACAGTTAGTCTGAATTGTGTAAGGATGTGCAAATTTTCTAGTTGAATACGTAAGATAATTATGATCCATTGTCGGAGAATAGATTAAATGATGTGAAAATGTTTGTAATGCAGAGAATGTATTCATTCTGTATTTTCTTCAGTTTGATGACTTTTACTGAAGTAGACTCATTATTCTAGAACCTCTTTCTTTAGATTTTAACTAATGGAAACATCATGTAGATCATGTCGATCTCATTTCATTAAAAAAATCAAATAAATACACATTTCTGACAAGTTTTATCGCTGTGTTAAAACTTCATCATCATTTAACTTGGCAGAAACGTAGATTTTGTCATTTGAATCGCTATTATAATCTGTAGTCAGAAATAGAAACAAACTAAAATTTATTGAGATGTAAATATATCCGAGTAGTGAATCGACGCACTGATTCAACAGTTCTATAACCATTGAAAAAAATATCATATGAAGAAGAAATTGTATCTTAAAAGATAAATAAGCCTCAGATTATTAAAGGTTACAGAGATGAAATCATTTATTCAAATCATGTAAGAAGTATTATTAGAGATATCAGAATATATATATATGCTGACTTAATTCACACTAAACGTAAACAAATATTAGTGTAGTAATTATGATTACTATTAAAGGGTCTTGGGCTAACTAATAATTATATCAATGAAAGCAACTAAATAAAAAGGAATACACATCTAACATGGATCATCATCAAAATGATCATACTTAAGAATTGTCAAAAAGGTGTATGTTGATTATTTTCCAATTTAACAATCTACAACATGTGACTCGTGTCAAATGCATATATATATATATATATATATATATATATATATATATATATATATATATATATATATTATTTTAACACATAGGTATTGGTTCAAGGAGGCACCAAATACATATGCGCCACACAGATCTCATTTGATATGTGTGACGGCTATGATACTGCCTGGGTGCCCAAACCGGAGCAGGTGGTTTTCTTAGGGGGCCACACCCCGAGCCTTCGACCTGAACGTCTGACCCACAAGGCAGTGGAGCATCGTGAGGAGATGCAATCACATGGTAGCCGATGACCAACGATTGGTTCATACGCCATTTGTTCCTTCAGGCAGGATACTGGAGCCCATGTGCACCATTGGTTTGGGGTCCGGTTAAAGCGCCGGACATTCGCTTTTCGTCCTCTCATTTTTGTAAACAACACCCCCGCCACGAGAAGGCAGTGAGTAGGACTTCCCTGTCAGAGGCTATATACGCATGGCCATGTGAGAGCATTTCGAGAGGGAGAGCGGACTCTCCCCACTCTCGGCCGTATATATATATATATATATATATATATATATATATATATATATATATATTCCAATGGTGAAAGCACATTATTATTATTATTATTATCATTATTATTATTATTACTGTTAGTAGTAGTAGTAGTAACACTAAATCTGTTAGGCATTTAACATCATAGAACTACTATTGCAAATTTTAATCAACAATAATAAAACATTTAACATGTTTTTTAGTCCAGTTGTTATTTTAGGGTCACTAAAGTAGATCGATCTAACTTGATATTTTTTTCTGATAAATTTAACCGATTAGTAAAAATATAACTATTATACATGTTGGTTGTATACTAAGTTATTATGTATTAGCCTACCAAAAATACTTGTTATTTGTAAACCATATAGATGAATTTACGCTTAGAAATTTATAATTCGATTTATTTACTAGACTATTCTTGCGAGCCGTTATCAGTCACAGAGATTTTTTTGTGTATTGAACTCAGTAATGTTGTTGTTTAATCAGATCATAAAACTTTTTAGTCTTGTCGCCCAGTGGAATCTGATTCACATAATATTAACTGGATCGAATTATAACTTACAGTTTTGACACAATTTCTGATAT